CAATCGTGGGTGTAAATACAGGTAGAGGTAAGCTGAAGAGGTATTGGGGAGGTCATTAGATAGGATATGACGTATCTTTGACCTTATTGAGAACATGACCTTAGATAGAAGGGTTTGGAGGTCGCGGATTAGGGGAGAAGGTGAATTGGTAGTTGAACGATCACTTGCTTTCCTGTTAGATAGGCTGGGTGATCTTATATGTACTTGTTTTCTTACCGGTAGTTTTAGCACTATTCTCGTAGTTACATATTTTTTCTTTTTCTATTATCACCGGTGTTTCCGATACTTTGTTTATCACATTATTTCGTTGTTGTTACTGTTATATTTTTTGAATGCTGTGTATTGTTTTCTATTTCGCATTCATATGTTGTTACTGCTTTCATTTTCATATTCCCTTTTTTCCTTCAAACTGCTTTTACTCAAGCCAAGGGTCTTTTAGAGACACTTTTTCTATCTTTACGAGGTAGGGGTAGGTTTGTGTACACACCACCCTCACTAGACCCCACTTGTGAAATTACACTGGATATGTGTTGTGGTATTTCCAAACCTTTATAGACTTACTTTGCTGCCTAGGACCTGTTTGGCCACCAATAAAGAACATGAAGGTTGGAATTTCCACTTTAGAAGATTCTTGAATGATTGGAAAATGGGAAGGCTTGCTGAATTTTTGGCTACAGTAGAACCTTTTCAAGGTCTGGACAATAACAACCGTGACAAGCTAATTTGGAAGATTCTGTGGAATAAGATTGTTGAATAATTTCATTCTATGTTTCTATGTCATATACATGGCTTTTATATATACATAAGAGATTGTGGAATAGAATGACCTAAATCCCATGAAATCTGGGATTATACAGAATCATATATTTTACATTAAGAGAAAGAACCAAAGATATGATATTCTAGATTACCACAATTATCCTAAGATCTTAAAGGATCATATCTTGATATGAAGAATATCTTCCCAGCTTAGACGATTATATCTTGATAACAAGAATATCTTCTTGGAAATCCTCTATCAGCCAACACTCCCCCTCAAGTAGGTGAATGGATATCTTCCATTCCTAGCTTGCTTATTAGATCTTGAAACACATTGTTTGGCACTCCTTTTGTTAAAACATCAGCTACCTGATCTTTTGTAGATACAAATGGCGTATAAATGAGTCCGCTATCTGATTTCTCCTTAATGAAATGTCTATCTACCTCAATATGCTTAGTGCGATCATGTTGTACAGGATTATGAGCTATACTTATTGTTGATTTATTGTCACAATATAGTCTCATAGGTCGTTCACATCTTATCTTCAAATCATCAAGGATTATCTTTAACCATAACAACTCACAAACTCCCATAGCCATAGATCTAAACTCGGATTCGGCACTTAATCTTGCTACTCCATTTTGATTTTTACTCCTTCAGATTTCCTCCTAAGCAAGTGCAATATCCAGAACTTGACCTTCGATCCACTAATGAACCATCATAGTCCGTATTTGTATAAGCCTCTAAAACCATGTCTCCTCCTCTTTTGAATAATATTCCTATTCCGGACTTCCTTTAAGATATTGTAGAATCTGGTTGACAGCTTGAAGACGCATTTCTCTAGGATCATGCATAAATTGGCTAACAACACTTACAACAAATGCAATGCCCAGCCTTGTATGGGACAAGTAAATCAATTTCCCTACAAGTCTTTGATACAAGCCTTAGTCTACCACAGAACCTTCTGGAGCATTGCACAATCTATGATTGTATTCAATTGGTGTAGCCACTGGTTTACACCCTAATTTTCCTGTTTCTTACAGCAAATCAAGCACATATTTTTGTTGGGAATAAAGATTCTTTGTTTTGAGCGTGCCACTTTGATTCCCAAAAAATACTTTAATTTTCCCAAGCTCTTTGATGTCAAATTCTTTGAGTAAACACTTCTTCAAATTTTGTATCTCCTCTGAATCATCACATGTTACTATGATGTCATCCACATAAACAAACAATGTTGTCACCTTTCCTGTTTTTGAGTGTCGTGTGAACAAGGTGTGGTCTACTTAACTTTGTCGATACCCTAGCTTGATCATAACCTTTGTAAATCTTTCAAACCAGCACAGGTGATTGCTTTAATCCATAGAGAGCCTTCTTCGGTCTACACACCATTCCCTTCTTGCTTTCAAAACAAGGTGTCACCTCCATATATAGATCTCCTCATCTAAGTCTCCATGTAATTTCATGTGGAATAAGATTGTTGAATAATTTCATTCACATATTTCTATGTCATATACATGGCTTTATATATACATAAGAGATTGTGGAATAGAATCACCTAAATCCCATAAAATCTGGGATTGTACATAAATCATATATTTTACATTGAGAGAAAGAATAAGAGATATGATATTCTAGATTACCACAATTATCCTAAGATCTTAGAGGATCATATCTTCATATGAAGAATATCTTCCCATCTTAGAGGATCATATCTTGATAACAAGAATATCTTCTTGGAAATCCTCTATCAGCCAACAAATTCATAGTAAGGAAAACTTCACAGACTTCAGTAAAGTCATGTTAATTCCACTTCAATTCTGGTGGGCAGCAAAGGGGTCTTTGGCCATGGAAGCAAACCTGAAAAACAAATGCACCACACAAAGTGGCTTCTTTCACTTGGTTGGTAGTGCGAGAGAATTACTTAACCCAGCAAAACCTCCAAAACGTAGGATTCCGATTGTGCTCTAGATTGTTATCAATGTGGAGACAAGGCTGAAAGTATCAGTCATTTATTATTTGCTTCGTCATCTTACGGACCAGCTATGGCAATTCTTTCTGAATATGGTGAGAATAAAATGGAGCATGCCAGGGTTTACTTATGAGCTACTAAATGTTGGAGCATCAGAGGAAGGATTCCAATCAAAGGAAATGGTGGAAAACCACTTCGGCATGCATATGGCGAACAATGTGGAGGAATGACATGATCGGTGCTTTTTTTTTTTTATGACAAGGGAAACCCGCAGTCGCTAGCCTTTGGGTGCGCACAAGGTAAAACCCCCGCTCCTATGCAATAGCTCGCAAACCACATAGGAGAGGTAACCCGCACTAGGCAATCCCAGTGCGACGAGCTCGACCCAGAAGGCAAACCCCTTACTTTCGCTGGCAAGGGGTTTCGAACTTGAGACCTCTAACCAGTGTTGTAAAAAGCGCAGAAAAGCGCGCTTAAAGCGAGAAGCGAGGCGAGGCGAGGCCCCTGCGCTTTTATTTCGTGAAGCGAGGCGACATTGAAAAGGCGCTCGCTTCTACTGTAGAAGCGAGAAGCGCAGAAAAGCAAAAGCGTAAAAAAAGCGCGCTTAATTTGAAAAAGCGCTAATTAGGGTTTCTTTTTTTTTTCTTTTTTTTTGACAAGGTAACAGTTTAGGGTTTCTTTTTTTAAAATTGTAAGTTTTTTTTTTTTTAATTGCTGAAATCCTTATGCGACTTAATATTCTCTTTTGCGACTTCAAATTCTTTTTTGGACTAAGAAGCTGCGACTGCTCTTCTCCTTCTTCTTCTCTGCTGCGTAAGTTCTCTTCTTCTTCTCTGCTGCTGTAAGTTTCTTCTTCTTCTCTTCTTCTTCTCGTCTTCTCTTCTTCTCTTCTTCTTTGCGACTGATCTGCGATTTTTTTTCTATTTTTGGTTGCTGCCAGGTTGCCACTGCTGTAAGTTCTCTTCTTCTTCTTCTTCTCCTTCTCTTCTTCTCTTCGAGGCTGCTGCTACTGTTTTTTTTTTTTTGGTTGCTGCTGGGTGTTATCTATATTTTTATTGCTGCATTTTTTTTTCCAATTTCTGTTTTTCAATCTCTATTACTGACCTGTTTTTTTTTTCAATTAATATTACTGCTCTGTTTTTTCCAATTCTTTTGCTGCTCTGTTTTCTTTTTTATTTCTATA